TCTTTGATACAGAAAGTTATAGATAGTTACATACCCAAACAGCGTATACTTGCTAAAGGATATTTTCCATATGACAAAATTTATAAAAATGTACAAAAAGTATCAGCCAGGTTACTATTTGTGTCTAGAGAACCCTCAAGTGCATTTGGAAGGCAGGGAGCTTTTCCTTTTGAAACTATTTAGAAAGTTAGTGTGACAAAGTTTTTATTGCACTTTCAGAGCTGAAACTCAAATGGTGGTCCCCCACTGCATTTCCTTCATGAAAACACACCTCATTTTTTGTCATCTTTGGCATTTCAGCTGAGGTAATACACAGTAAAAGTGCTATATACTATACAGTATGAAAGCAGGACATCACAAGATAATGCAGTAAATTTACAGGCCCCATAAAAGCCCTGTTCCTTTTGAAATCCCAAAAAAGAGCTGTCACATGGATTAATCTTTGCTTTACAGTCACTTCACAGCTGCCAAGAATCACAGGCCAGACTAAAAGGGTACAAAAAGGCCAGAGAACCAGCAATTTAAAGCTGATATCCAGAGTCTCCTTATAAAAGTTGCACAACGGCTGTAGAGTTGGTGCCCTCCAAACAACAGCATTCACTGTTTAAAACAAACTAAATGCAGGCCCTTATGCTGCGCACATTAAGGTAAATAATACAGAAACATAAAGGTTAAAATAGTCTAGGGCTATGGGCATGTTGTTATCATGCCTAAAACTGTTTCAGATTATGTTCCTTTGGCATGGTACATCTGTTGTGGCTTTCAGTCCTGAAGGACTTTGACATATATTGTTACCAAAAGATAAAAATTTAGGGGCCCAAACCTTGCACTAGGTTTATTGCATTCTGGGCGCACTGGTCTGCTGTAGCCCACAAGGAGTGTGTGGGGGGGGAGAAAAACAAACGAACAAAGTCTGTCTAGAGCTGTGTCCCAAGCTTCCTTTTCTTTGAGACTGGAAACATGGAACCACACTGCTCTGCCGTACAAAGGCCTCCACATGAAACCAACCCAAGTGTTCCGGCTTTCTCATGGGATCCCAGCTCCTCCACAGCGATGCTGCTAGGAATCGAAGCCCTCGGAAGCCCATCCCTGTCAGCAACATCCCCAGAGGAGGAACCACCTTTGCACGAATGAGTACGGAAGATGACTTTATAAACCAGCCTGACATTACTCCCTACGTTCTGAAAGGGTCGAAACTGCCAGCGTTATCATAATTTTCATTTAACTTTTCCCTGATCACGTTAACAAAGCTAAGACAGACTGAGCTGTTCAGGCACCACAAACCCAGTTCTTCAAAAGGGGCCTACTGCCGTACGCGCTAAAAGCATCCATGTGTGCACTCTACCCATGGGGCACAGTCACACCCTTGTATTGACACAACTGTGTGTGGAGAGAGAACACAGCCTGGCTTCCCAAGCAACGAGACGCTGTGCTTGAGGAAAGCTTTGTGTCTTGAAAATGAAATACATCTTTTACTCATGAAATATATACGCTGGAACCAAACACGTGTGGGTGGGTGGGTTTGGGGTTGTTTTTTAACCATACAAGAGTAAAATTCCACGCTAATCAGTCCAGGAATATTGAAGGAACACAAAGCTTTGTGCCCAAAAGGAGCTTTGGAGCAGCTGGCTCAACAAGAAGGTACATCAGTACTAATACGAAGAACAAACCAGCTGAAACCCAGCTCAGAGAGCCAAAGCCACACAGCAAGCCAGACAGCCGAGCTGAGAGTCAGAATTCTTTTTCTGCTTCTCCCACCATTCAGTACGGCTTTTTCTTAACAATAGGTTGCAACTGCCTGGGAGAATAGTTACCCCGGTGCTCAGGTTGCTCTATTTTTATTGATTTGCCAAACACGCTTTCCTGCTCACAAGTTTCTCACCATGCAGTACGCACATTATTCAGCCTCCTGTCCTTTGAAGATGCACAAGAGTTGCTGTTGAAGCCAACAATAGCAAAGTCTCCGCATCATCGGCAGGATGTTGCTGTAAAGGTTACAGAATGGACTTCTCAGTGACTAAACCCTAAAGCTGAGCATTCAGGAGAGCTGACCTTGGAAAATTTATCTCACGCTGTTTGGAGTCACACAGAACCATTTGCCAGATCTCTTAATATAAAATATTTCACGTCATGGATTGACAAAGTTCTTTTCTTACCCTTCCTTCCGTTCACACCAAATCCGATAAGTGACTGCTCTTTTCTCGATAGGACAAAGCTCAGAGGATGAAGATCCGGTCACTTTACGTGCTAAGGACAGAAATCCCAGTTTTTTACTGTTGAAACAGGAAACACTGTCAGATCCTTCTGGAGAATTCCATTGTTCCATTAGCAAATGCAACCTTTGCCCAAGGTGAAAATGGCAGAGGGCATCTCTCTGCCACATGTGGTTCAAAGAAACTGGAGATGAAGGATGCAAAGGAAATCCCAGCTCTCCATGGCTTACTGCAGTGCTGCCACGTTTTATCTTTTTTTTTTTTTTTTGGTCTAGTTTCTGGTTTCATACAGTTTGATTTTTGGATGTCACAGAGACATGCAATATTGGACTCACTTTCCACTCCATGTCAGAACATTTTGTTCCAATTCAGCATCAAGCTTTTCTACTCAAAAGAACCTAGATTCTTTTCCTCGATTGCGACAAGATCCACACAACAGCCAACGTTCCCAATCTGGGTCTAGCAAGTGGGGCCCAGCTGTGACACAGCCTGATCTATATCTGGCCTTCAGTCCCCTCCAGCCTCCTCATGCACCGATTTTTTCCTACAGCTTCTCACAGTACACCTAAGCCAACCCCACGTCTAGTTTGCACAACCTGCTCCGCTGCTGCCAGGCATGCTGTTCCCTATCAGCAGCCACGTGCGAGCGAGCGGCCGCAGCAGCGTCACTAACACATAGCATGGGCATGCCGTGCTCCAGGCAACCGACTGGCTACACCAGTTCTGATCGACAGCTCGCCACCCCTGCCCCCACCTCCTCTGTCTCTTTTTTATTACTGTTATTATTTCTGTACACTAAACGCACAGTTTTGCTGATCCAGAGACAAATTTGGAAGGACGGCCCTCTGGGCAGCAGGGGGATCAGCAAACTGTAACTGTAAGCTCCATGCTGCTTTAGCTCACGTTTTACATTTTGGAGAGACAGAACTTCTCGTTCCCGTTTTGATAACCAGTTTGTTCTGTAGCTAAGAGACACGCCCTTTCTTTGTAAATGCTACAAATCAGGCATATCTGATCCATTATTCACGAACTGCTGCTGCTTCCCACTTCCATCTCCTATTAGGAGGTAGCGCTCGTGCCAGAAATGTCACGGCAGTGTCATGTGACAGGTGGTATTGATTTAGCTAAGTCGGGTTTTAATGTCACTCTCGTTCAGTGGGAACACACGGTGAGTGCACACCAAGCCTCAGCAATGTGGCAGATCAGGACAAGAGCTACCAGCCAGCCCTGCCCTGGGCTGCAGGACTCTAGAATGGCATCAGCACTCTACTGTAGACCAAGAAATTGGATTATTTTCTGCTCCTGTCTGCTACATTATCATGGTTAAAATTTTGCTCATGCTTGTAACTATTAATCATAAGGCGTCGATTCTGAGGTTTCATGTCAGGTTTACAGCAAAGACAATGAGAATGGTGGTGACTTGCCCGGTATCACACGGTTCAATCAGGAGCAGAATCCTGGTCTGTCCACTCCCCCCTTTTGGCAGAATAGCTGCCAGTTTTGGGAAGCTGCTCACAGCCTATGAAGTCTGATACACAGAGGCTTTGCAAAGTAAAGCCTGGGGAAGATATGCCCAAAACAAGCTGAGATTACTCGGCCATTGCGTACCACGTTCTGTTCCTGCCATTCATGCGTCCGTACTGAGAGCCCATCTACTGTAAACAATCCTTCCAAAACATCAAATCTAGCTGTGATTGAGGACACCACTTAAACATGAAGTATTATAATGCAAGGAGTACTCTGTCACCAAGGATGTCTGCCAGAAAAGCTTAGACTGATCCATAGTTACCACTGCTGCCAGGCTTGGAAACGGTACATTCACCAGCCTGACATGACCCAAGTCTCCCAAAAGATTTTTTTTTTTTTAAACTTGCTGTCTGAAAGTAGGTAGTCTGCCAAAAAGCCAACCAAGGCCCAGCCCTATGCCTGATAAACATCTCTGCATCTGGATTTCCCAAGCTTTTGGGAAAGTTAAGCAATTCTCACTTCACAATGTTTGCAACTCTCACAGAAAACTATTTCTATATATAACATTATTCTGTAGAGAAAAGCGCATCAGTGCCCCATGCTATGAAATGGAGCTGAGGGCTAACATAGCAGATTGTACCACCACCACCACCCATACATTAGTCAAAAATAAAAACTCACTCCATCTATGAAATGTCACAAAGCCTTGAGTGATTGTTTATTCTAAATACTACTGACGCCAATCTTCAAAGTGTTTTTGAATGACTGTAATTACTAAATGAACTCAAGAAAAGCAAAGACTGCAACTGCCAATTGACAAACCAGCCATTGTGTGCAGGGAGATTGCTGGCCACTGAGGCAATTAATCAGTTTGGTTTGCCAGGGCAGGAGGTAACATTCTTCCACCGGGTCAGAGGTAGCCAGCAGCTCAGTGCAGCGCCGGAGGCACTATGCTCAGCGCTCAGGAGAGAGATCACAAAAGGTGTTAGTAGTTACAGGATTCAATCTCAGTTCTGGCAGTTCATCATTCAAAATAACAAGCACCCATGAAATGTCAATGGTCAAAAGTTAAACAGCATGTGTTTCTGAACTGATTTCCTTTTGTAAAGGAATTGCTGTTGACTTGGAGGGGTGGACATTTTCTTGGGGGCAAGCTATCAACTAGTAGTTCCCTTTGAGGTCTTTCCAACTGAACTGATAATTTGTAAGTGCCAAAAAGTTATAGCCAACACATGTCTGACAGCAAAATTCAGCTTTAAACTTGTCTGCAGTGATGCGCCAAGTCTTTTGCAAGATGGAAAAAAAAAAAAAATTGTTATATACGATGAAGCATTAATGTTTTATCATTCCAGTATCTCACACACAAAAAACATTCCAGCACTACATTCAACCTCTGCTCTGAGAGCTCAGCACAAATGCCTGCAGGGAAAGTAGTAAACAATTAGAATTAAAAAATAATTTGGTGACACAGCATTCACTAGTGAAGCGCAGTAAAACATCAAACATTACAGTTGAAGAAAAACATCTGGGAAAAGTTGAAATGTCCATAAATGAATTGCTACAACTATAAATTTCTGTGAAGTTCAAGGTAAGTAACAAGTTTGCACGAACAGAATGAGCGCTACCACATAGATGAAAAGAAAAAGCTGTACTTCATAGTATAATCACTTATTTGATAATCTGTAAGTGAATGGCATACTAAATTGCAAACATCCTGTTAAATGAACAAAAATACTTTATGTAAGAAATGTTAACTGCCTTCATTAACACAGCTATTTTAAAGAACAAAGAACAATTCTGAAACGGAGCCTGATACTTTGGGATGCGTTCAAAGAAGTGGTCAGATTTTCGTAAGAACTCAATTGTTGTGACAAACAGCTCTTCCCCCCACCTTCCTCTCATGCTGGGCTCCAGTGATCACCCACCAGACAGGCCTGAAACACCCCATCTAGTGTTTCAAAACAGGAATAGAAATGGCAAAAGAACATGGGAGTCATCTGCTGCTCCTCACTTCATCAATGTGAAACTACACACCTGAACACCAACCCTTTCCAAAGACTCCAAAAACAACAGCACAGATGCGGAATGGTCTGCTTCTAGCTTATCATGAGCACTTAAAAATGGCTCTTACACTGTCACAACAAACCTTGCTTTACTGAAGGCTCTATTTTTTTCCTAGCAGTAGCAGTGCTTTAAAAATATTCATCCCAGTTCATTTCATCTCTGCTTTATTGTAGTGACCTTTTAAGAATACAAGTTTGACACAAACATTCTTGATCAGAATAACTTTTCTCAAAAGGTATAGGCTGATTTTTTTTTATTGTATTATTTCTGTCTTGAAGACACCGGCTCCCTTTGCCCTCATCTTACAGTGAAAAAGTGTTTGTACAGGTGAGGTCTATACCGTACAGAGGGCACTGTGTGTACAGTTCCGTGCTGCCAGGGTCACAGTGTTTTCTTGATGCAACAGCATCAACATAACAGACAATGAGTGAGAACATTTGTGCATACAAAAAGGGAAGCAAACATTGCAACAGCAAGCAACTGCAGCCCTTCTATAGTAAGTCTAAACTGAAGAAGACTGCGAAGTCCACAGTCCCAAATACCTATCTGGGAAAAAGCTGAGCCCGAGAATAGTTTTACCTGTTGATACTCTGAATTTGAGCCAGGCAACTCAATGGCAGCATTCTCTTCCTACACCCTACACCTGTGTATGAACATAGCTTTGTAATTAAATATCCTGTTGGCAGCAAGGTCCTGGTTCAGTACAGTAAAGCTGTAAAGACAGGAAAAATTCTAAGACTTCAACTGTTACTTATATTTGTATTGAATAAACACCTTTTAGGAGTCATAGCATTTGCCACAGAGGACTTGTATCTATCCACTAAAGAACTTGTTAGCAGCTCCGTAAATTGCTATTTTTATCCCAGTTCTCCCCTCAACAGGCAACAATGTTCACTAGGTAAAAAAAGTAACCAAGTATGCCAGTCTAGAAAGCCTACGTGAAACCCTTCACTGAATCCAGTGACTGCACAAGAAAGAGATGCAAAGGTAAAGTCTTGGAGCCGCCTCTTTAAGGACATGATAGGTGGCAAAGAAATGGATTGCTGACAGTTATTATACCAGCTGAGCTTTCCAACTGCACTTCAGGCAGTTTTAAATAAAATTTAAAAAAAATCATTTTAATTTGGGGAAAATCCTGATAAAGAGAATCATGCTGATGAATATAAAACACACTACAATTAACATTATCCATAACAGCCAGTTGACTGATTTCTTTGCATGCTGTTCAAGGCGGTCAGATTCATCCTTGAGCTTCTCAAAGTTCTGGTCTGCCATCCTGAGAGAATGCGATAGTGTCTGGGGAGCAAAGAGAACAAACAGTTTCAAACTCAGATGTGAAGGTTCTGACCGCTATTTCTTCCAACACAGAAAAGGTTCAATTGCACTACAGAAGCAGACAGGTATTGCCTCCAAGTCTCCCCACTCTAATCTCACCTGGAACCAAGTAATAGGTATAGTATTTAACATGAGTACTTTAACCTTCTGGGTTGCAAAACTGAGGTTAACACTTTAACATGCGCTACCTGGTTATCTTGTTTTATCACATTCTGCGCAGCCAGAGTGTTGTTTTTGAGACTGCGAGCCAAACTCAGCATTTCTTCAGCTAACTTCTCCTGCATATCCTGATGGTGCTGTAACACAGCATCCAGCTCGACGGCTGACTGCTTCTCATCAGGTGCAAAGCCTCTGCAAGAGCATAAGGGAAAAAAAGTTGGGATTTATACTTCCTTGTGGGTTCATCTCCCAAGGTTTCCCTATACTCTGCAACTCTGACACGACAAGAACAGTTAAGTTAGCCGAAGCAATTATATTTCAGTTTCTTCCAGCAGGCACTTCACTCAAATGGAAGCACATCTGTGATTTAAAGGTCATTAAGAAAGCAGCTCCCAAAACACTAAGCATCAGAATTAAGTTTTTACTTACTTCCGCTTCCTTATGTTCAACTCTTCAGAATCTGGAAAAAGCGTTAAATTTGTGTTTTAGTATTTTGTAACTCCCATGCAATCATAGGCTGAAGAAACAAGTTTTCCATAAGGGGTTTTCAGATGTCCAAATCCTACTTGGCCCTCTAACCCAAGGACTATGGATTTCAAATGCCTACCTGCCTTCCATAGGGAAAAGACAACACATAACAGCAAATGTACGGTTGAGAGGAAAAAACCCAGATGAATCATATCCCTGAAGGCATGGTTTAAGCCCATGTATCTTGGTGTTCTCTTTCAGGACATGTTAGATTGGCCTAGCTCCAACCACTGTAACAGTAGCTATGGAAACCACAAATTAATTCCTACCAGTTCCCTACATGAATAACATGACTGTATATTTAAGAGGAATTGAACAACGCCTACTCTAAGCACCTAAAATCACATTATTTGCTCAGAGCAGAGGAGAACAGGAGCAACAATAAAGTTAAATTGTCCTTGCTAATTCTATAATTAGAATGTCTGTTTCCGTACAAATTCTAGAAAAATAGGTTCCTGCAAGTCCCTGCTACCATACCGATAACAACACTTAAGCTTTCATCTGTCAGTGTTTTTGGTTTTGTTTGTTTTTAAAATCTGTTATCTTGAAAAGAAGTGAGCCACTAAATTAAAAGTATACTTTGGCCAATCTCAAATACCTGACCTTCCTCCTTCTCTCCCTGTAAGACTCAGGTTAACTAAAGTTAGAGAAAACAGATTAAACTTACCATCGATAGCCAAAGGGTCCTGGGAGGAGGAAAGAGAAACAAAACAGAAGATTACAAAGGGCCAGCAATAAAAGACAGTCCTCCAGGCCTATCATAGTGCTTGTGTCCAGTATTTAGACTATCCAAACTAGAAAAAGGTGACTTGCCATCCAGCCTGGGACACACATGAGGCACGGCCACCAAAGGCAGCTGAATGCAACAAGACAATCTATAAAGTAGCAGTAAAGAAGCAGCAGCACCAAAACATACTGTACCAAGCAGCTCACTCCTCATCTTGCCTGTGCAACGAGCCTTTGTCTGCAGATGAACTGTTTTAGTAGCTGGGGTTCTCTCTTTGGTTGTTGTAGGGGTACGTCCAGGAGCCAAGAACTGATTTGCCAGAGCCTTTTCAGTTGATGAAGACTGTGAGTGGGAAGAAGCAATGAAAAGTCATGAATACCACATCTATCAGAGTGAGGCCACCTGGGTGTGTGACCAACAAGGAGGCAGGGAGCACTTCCACAGCTGCTTCCCACAGAACAGCGAAGTCAGTCTGAACAGCAGCACTAACCATACCTGTGCTAATTGTGGTACAGCTTATTGGTGTTTCATAGCTCTCCAAATACACATGGCTTAAAGGACAGTACCTGCCCCTGTATCTCACAGCAAAGAAGTGAGAAGGATGCAAGCAAGATGTACCTCGCTTTTGAAAAGGAGGAAAGCTTTAGGTTTCCTACAATACCCGCCCCTTAACAAAATATAAACATCCAATATAGGTATTTACAAGGACTTCCTGGTAAGATTTTAACAAGTGTTATTTTGAGACACAAGATAATGGCAAACTTAGGAACCAGGAAATAAGGTGAATACAGGCAAAAAACACTTGTCTTTTCAAGCTGAACCAGTAGATCTTACCAATTTTTCAGCTTCTAAAAGTCCCTTTAAGAAGTCCACTTTGCGAGAGTATTCATTCAGCAGTTCTGGGGCTGGCTTACTATTGGAATCAAAAAATAGTAATATGAAAACCATGAATCATCAGTATTTTCTGTTGTTCAAATAATATAAAAAAGACAACACAAGGTTTTTCAAATAAGTATCTTGTAAGAGAAATAGCCTCCGGCCAGGAAGATACTTGCAACCCCCTGCAAATCACCTTTTCCAAGGCACTGCCCAGGGCCAAGACTGACGCACTGGGAGATGTGGCCAAGAACGGCCAAGAACGTAATAGGTGCACAGCTCCTCGCACCTGTTGTAGCTGCTTTGGGGCACAGTTTCTCCCTCACTGACAGGTCTTTCTACAGGGAAGCGTACGTGCTACTGTGGTGTTTGTGGGCTACGTCTGTCTTACAGGCAAAAGACTAACGAAATCACAGATGACACCCGCCTGCCTCAGGATTTCTAAGGGACTCACCTGGATTGCTTCTTGAGCTCTCGGAGCATATCTTCAAGAGCGGCTACATACTAGGGCGAGAAAAAGAGCTTTTAAACGACAGCATTAAGAAGAAATATTCTGTCTGGCTGAGATTCATGCACGGCTGAGAGCGAGGTTGGAGTTTTAACACTCCACAACAGTCACTGCCTCAGTTTATTTCGAGGAACCGAATCGCGCTGCTGCGGGGACAGAGGGACAGAAGGCTCCCGCGCTTTTCCCGCCCAGTCTCCCCCCCCCAAGGAGCGTCGTCCCCAGAAGGCCGGGCCGCGCCTCACCTTCTCCAGCCGCCACTCCTCGGGGTCCCGCCGCTCCGCCGCCAGCGCCTCGCACCGGCTCAGAAGCCGCATCAGGTTCAGCTCCAGCCGCGTCGCCGCCATGGCGGACAGTCGCCAGCGGAAGCTGCCTCAGGGCCGCTTCCGGGCGCCATCTTGGGGCGGGGCGTAGGGAGGGGCGAGAGGCGCTGGGCGGGCTGGAGGGGCTGCGGTGTAGCGCTGTGGGCGCCGTTTGTTTTATTTAAAAAAAAAAAACAAACCCAAAAAAACCCCACACCAAACAAAAAAACCCACCACCCCAAAACCAAACCAAGAAACTCCACACATGTCCACAGAGGTGGCTGCTGCTCAGGGCTACTGTGGCAGTGCTGTGGTGGCGTCGCCACCCCCTCAGTTGCTGCCTGCAGGGCGGGACTGAGCTGTGCTCTTCCCTCACTTCAACCTGGAGCAGGACCAAGAGACCAGGTGTTACAGTACAGTTTCGTTCAAAACGTTTTATGTATAACTGCATCTTGCCCCAGGGCTTTCACTGCACAGATGTGAAGCCTGGGGAGGATGAGGCAGCTCTGCATAGGATCCAGCAGCGTGGCTTGGTGCTGGGTTGTACCTTTGCTCCAAGAGCACCAAAAATGCTGTGAGTAGTGCTGCCACTGTGCAGAGAGCTTTCCCAATGCTATACGAAGTACTGATGAAGATGTGATTCCGATTAAAGGCTTCCACTAGAAGAAACTGTTCATTAGACAAGACAGACGTTGATAAACTAACACATGTATTTTTAAAAAGTGCAATGTATTAATAAACATTTTTATATATTTTGGTCTCAGTTAAGGCTATTACAACATTAACAGTTCTGTAAACCACACAGAAAGTTGTCATAAAAACATAAAAAAATTAAGGCAATGCACATTGACCCAAACTCACTGTTGGTCCCATTAGAGACCATTGTAAGGCAAACAGAAAAAGGCACGGCAGCAGAATCAGGGGACTTATTTTTATCCTGTACACTCAACCCATGTATTCTACTCAACATAAGCTTTATGTTCTACTTTCTTTGCATGGTTTTAATTTAAAAAGTGAACAATATTTGTTTTAAACAACCTTGCTTAACCCTTACAGTACTGTACATTTCCAGGCTGCATTCCCAGCAGCCGCTTAAAAACACCATAAAACAAGTTCACAGATGTTAAAGGGTTAAAGCCAAAGCTGCAGTCAACTTCAAAAAAAGTCCAGACAGCTGAAGTATTTCACTTCTCTATACAGGGAATGTGAGAGTAAGGGTCCGAAAACCTCCGTTTTACTTTTGCTGTTGGTTCGTATTCATCTAAGAGTTCCTGAGCATGGGCCGTTGCAGACCCTTGTGCAATGTATACAGAGTGGATTTTATCAGTTCGCCTTGCTGGCTGCTCCCTTCGTCTCACCACTGCTTGAGACTCTTCGTTAGCCGAAATCCCGCCCTGGAATTCTGTACATTTGAAAATCCCAGGAGGAAGTTTTATATTTGCTGTTGGCATCACTGGAGTTCGACGGGGCACTTTAATCTTGGACAGTGTTAAAGATGATCTGTGTCTTGAAGCCAGGGATGCAGAGGAAGAATTTGAAGAGGTTTGCAAAAGAGAAGGCACTTTGCAAATGTCTTTGGCAGGCATACTGGAGCTCTGAGCACGGCAGTGTAATCCAATAATTGCTTTAAAGAAACAAGATACTTAGATACTGAAAGCATGCGTAAAAAGGTAACTTGATACAAGCAACTGTGACCAGATAACATCTGGTCACCTGGCTGTATGCAGTAAAAGATGTAGAATAAAAAAAAACACACACTACCTTAATACTGACCTTCGGTATCCATCCGTCCTGTTCTATCTTCAAGCAGGCTCTCTGTGCTTGCGGAGGTCTCAGAATCTACATTTTCCTCATCAGAGCCTCGCTGATCAAGCTCAGGTAACCGGTAAGTTATATCCTCCCTACACCAAAACAGAGATTGTAGCACTCTAGAAAGACAATGTCTCCAGTATGAACAACTTTATGCAGCTCATATTCAGAGGCAAACCTTCCTGCATGTAGTCACTAAATATTAATTCTCATGGTATTTTCTCTCAGCCAGTCCTTTGTATTTTCCTTTTCACCTTCATGAAAGCTTATAGAACAAAACTAGCTACGTCATTTTGGACAAAGAGTATACTGCTTTACTATCTGTATTACCTCCAACTTCAAAGGGCATGACCTACAGAGATAAAGGGTGACTTACTTTTCTTCTTTTATTGATTGTATGCGATCAATCAGAATCTCCTTTTCCCGGTTATCGGCTTCAGAAGCTTCCTCTTCTTCATGCAGTGAGTCCAGTTCCGAGCTGCCACTGTCATTTCCTTTGACCTGTGAGCTTTTACTCTGCAAGACAAATTTATGTGTAGCACTTCTCAGTCATAAGCAGCTACACGAGTCTTGACTGTCTACTAGTTGCAAGGTGGAAGATAAATGAGTAGGCCAAACGAAAGGCTGATGGAATTGATGAAGAGCTGTTAGTTATCCATACAAATGTTTCAAAAAGTAATAGAAATGTTTTTTTTTTTCACCAGATTTCTGTGGTTTTGTTACCTTTTTTTGAAGCATAGTAATTTGATTTGCCAGCCTTAGCTTAGTTTTAGTAATCATTTATAAGTAATATTACTACATCCAATACAAATTCCGTTCAGAATGTCTATAAAATACCAGTCATGACAGAACAGGTCAGCAGCCCTGCATGCAGTCTGGGGAGAATGTTGCACCGATACATGCAGTCTTGATTGTTCAAGAATATTTAAAACCAAAGTTACAATACATTTAGTATTTTAGTCATGCAATATTACCACAAGAAAGTAAAACATGCACTCTTAACACAGGCAGTGTACGTACCAGCATCCCCTCATAAGGGGAAGAAAACCCAAGTTTTATAGGCCAGAGCTAGAGAGAGATGAAGACCAAATTCACTACATGTGGCTTCTGGTCAGACAGAATTTGGTTTGTCTTAATCAGTACAACAAAAACAAAATAACAAGTCTATTTGCCCTTATAGAATGCAGCACATTTTTGTCCACCATCCATCTCTAGAGTGAAGGAACTCCTTTTCCTGCGCCCTTCATTTATCAAGCAGACTCCAGTGCAGCTGTATATTTAGCTCCTCCCTACAGCTTTGGGCAAGTCCAAATCCCTTTTCTTCTTATCTTGCAACAGATCTTTGACTTACTGGATGGGATGGACAGGATAAATAAGTAGCACATCCTTTCCCAATAAATTAGTGGAATACTTTCTGCTAGATGGTGTGGTTCTGTGGTTTATCTCAACACTTACCGTATTCTGCCGAAGCAATGAGAGTCGTCGAAAAGCAATGCTCTCAGCTGCTTCCAGCTGATTTATTTCATCCATTTTTATCTTGTACTTCCTTATCTGTTCCTTTATGAGCATTTCTACACACCTGCACAAAAGGGGAAGAGTTTATTGAGCAGCCTCATACTATAAGAGCTCTGGGGACAACCACAGTGGGATGAGATGCCTCTCCTGGCTTGGGGATGTTTGCCACACACACACACGGCTGGCATGCAATCAGTGTTCCGACATATGCCTTACATGTGTTAGCACTTCACGGTAAGGGTGTGAACAGTCCAACACAGCAAGCCAAACAGGACAGACTGTTCAAGGTAATGGTCCATGTTCTTCCTGGGGTAACCAGTGCCTCTCACGCTGACTGTACACAACAGTAGTAAGCAAACAGACATTACCATGGCTGCTAACTGCTGCTTCTACCTGTGCTGGCACAGACTGGCAGATACAGAATGAGCCTGCAACTGCCCTTTTCCACCCCTATGGCCCCAGGGGTCAGTAAGGAGTTACAAAAAGCTGTCATTTTTCAAATTCTGTTTTCATTGGCAGAAGATGTGAGGCCAGCCATGCAGGGAGGATGGCAAGGGACATTCAGAGAGCCAGAGCTGCTGGAGGGCGAGGAGAAAAAAGAGGATCAAGGACAGATCCCTCTTTAATTCAAGGAACAATGTAGAAGAAATTATCAGGGGTTTCCAAGTATGCAGGAGACAGTTTCATTCTATATTCTACTGTTTATTGTGGCCTGTACCTCAGCAAAATATGTATGATTAGTGTACAATCCCCTCAAAATACTATCTTCATGTAAAATACAAACCAGGTATTTAAGATTTAAAAGTCATCCTACTTCATGCTTCATAAACTTGAGACAGGTGGAAGGACTCAGAGAAGGGCATGTAAACTGGCTGCACTAGCAGAGCTAGAATCGAGCAACTCAACCCTCAGTTTCTCAGCTTGATATGAATAAGGTTGTAACAAATGCAGGTAGCAGTACTGGCCTTCCATCACATTTCAAAGTACTACTTTGCAGCAGACTACTAAAACTTACATGGTTGTTTTTGAAACATCCTTCATGCTGGTTAAAGGGTCGGAGGTATCAGGGCAACGCAACAGGCATGGAGCAAAAACAATGGCCAAGGCATTGGGTGACATACGGTTGACATCTTCTATTAAAGCCACTCTGAAATTCAATGTTCAGAACAAAAAAAAATTTTTTTTTTTTTAAGCAAACCTTTCTAGAATATAAGCCATCTGATCAAACTTTGCAAGAGTTTGCAAGGAGGCCTCTAGGGTACTAAGTACATACAGTAGTTCAAAAAAATTTTAAAATTATTTCACACCTACTAAGTAGACAAAGCTTCAGGCATCAGAAAAAGGAACAGGAAGCCACCCAAGCTAAGCTAGTTTAGTAGCCTCTCAAAGTATGTCTGGTGATTCAGTGCCTCCTCTTTAAGAATCCCTTTTCCCTATGTTCAGGGGGCCACTTGGAAAATTCTCAAGTTTCTTGGATAAAAACAGCCCTTCTACCAGCACCATTTATCTCCGCTCCCAAGACTAGCATATGTGCAAGCATTTGTAATCCTCATGCAGTCCCTACCAAGTATGCTAACATCGGCAGTTCACCATATACCCATCTGTATAAATCCTGGGGTTCAGATGACTCACCAAATCTTTCACATCTACCTTGTTTTCAAAGCTGTTCTTACTTGATTTGATACAAATACACCAGATGGTAGAAGTAAGCGTGCATCTTTTTTTTTAAGCGTAACTATCAACTTCAATTCTTTAATTTCTGAACCAGCAGCACAACCCCTACAC